TATATTTGAAGCATCTTTTACCAGAATCGGTATTCGGTTTAGGAAGAGACAAATCGGTTTCTCTATTTCTAAGATCATAGGTATTATCACATTCATTATTCAATCGAAAGGATGTTCTTAGATTTGGTGCGGTGTAGTTATTCAGAATTTTATACATGAAAACAGATTTTAGATAAGTTCGCCTTAGTTCTAGGTGTTTCCAACCCAGGCTTTGCATGCCATGGTGTGATGAATTTCAACGCTACGCGTTGCTACTTGCTGAATAGCAATGTATTGATCAGAAATTTATTCATACAACTAAACCAACGTCTCAATAATTGGAAACTTACTTCAAAGTCGAAAGGTATCGTACAATGAAACTTTACAATGCGAGTATATTTGTAAAATTATGTCCAAAAATTTCTGTTCAGAATTTCCCGTGCAGGATTGTCTGATCCTGCACGGCTGTTGACCAATCAAATTGCGTGTTTCACTGTAGTTATTATATAATATATGTTACTGGCATGAGTATTTGGATCTGGTGTATCTGTACAAGTGCATAATTTCTAACTCTGACAGAAACATCTCCATCAAGACTCCTGCTCGAGAAACACAAAATACCAACGCAACCAATGGCATTTTACTCGAAGTAGCCAAGTACAAGACAGTGAGCTATCAAAACAGCTTCTTCGTCAGAGTTGCCAATGTGTGGAACACACTCCCCTATTCGATCAGAGAAGCCAACAAAACCGTGGTCTTTTTTAAATTTTGTTTAATGAAACATTATAATAATCTCACTAAGGAAATTTACAATCCCGAAGATCCGAGAACATTTAAGTCTGTTTGTGTGAAGTGTCACACAACTCGCCCATTGAGCAGCTTGTCCAATCGATCTTGTTGCTAAATTTATTCATGTCTGTCTGTTTGTCTGTAAGTCTGTTATTGTTTATACTTGTATTTTAAATGTTTTGGAATCCCGTTATTGGAGATCGAACTAATAATCTCTGTGTGGTAATTCCAGCCATGTAGCCTATTTTGTAATTAATTTTATGTAATATAGTGTATTGTGTTCAATGGCAAAATCTGTAAAATAAAATAAATAAAATAAAGTAATTTAGGCACCACTGGGTGTATGCATGGGTATAAATAGGAGTATTTTGGGGCATCTCACTCGATATAACTATTTGCTGAAGGGATTTGTAGATGGAAACTTCGAATGAAAAATTCCATTCGAAATTTCCATCTACAGTACAGTACAAATCCCTTTTTCAAAAATTAGTTATATCGAGTGAGATGCCCAAACATCCTGCTACAAATTAAAGTGTATACACGCGTGCTATCGACAAGTTAAAAATATCCACACTATACTTACCAAGGCCTCCAATGCCGCAGTCCTGACACGAGGATCTTGATCAGATGTGAACTGTTGCAGAGTTCCCAGTGATAGCGCAGGTCTGTTGCCATCACTTACATTCACTTGATTATCCATCGTGGCGATAATATTTAGACAACGACAACGTACCAAGTGATTAGAATTTTGCAAGTGCTACATAGTTTAGATTAAAGATAATTTTCAATAGTTAGCAAAACATAAAGGAATCAATCAACATCGTACGTTCGTTTTGATCTAATGCCAGTAATGGGGATAACTCCATGAATTATGTATGCTGTTTTCTGATAATATGGTTTCAAAAGTTCTGAGGCTTAGGGCTGGTTTATACAGTAACAAAGTTTCTGTGATCACAGTTAGAAATATTGAATATTCGGTAAGTTCTAAGTTTTAAAGATTTGTAAGAAATTTTTGAGGGAATTCACTCTTTGTTTAACTCAGCTCTGAGTCAGTTCCTTAAAAAGTTTATTTATTTAACTTTGCCAAGTAACATGCAACATTTGTAACAGTACACTGATTTACAACAACATATAATATGTGTTCCATTGGCAGGGTGCACGCAACAGTTTTCACCAATTACAGCGGAACTATGCTAATACTATACAACAACACAAATCTAATAACAACACGATATTTGACAGGACAGATTACGAGACTTGTTACAAGACAAACATATTTCTTACAAATCCTTCAAAACATAGAATTTATCATAACTACCTGTATGCAAATCTCTACTGTGATCACAACAAATTTTGATCGTGTAAACCAGCCTTGATGTATCGCTTTTCAAGTTGCTTTAGGTGTTCGTAATCATCGTGCAACGTTCAATTTGCAAAACTGGATTATTTGATATTTTTTCACTTCACAGAACTTAGAAAAACACGTGTTGTTTTAAAAATTCTGGCTTATACGCCTCGGTTTTCAAACAGCTTTTCACTGCTCGTTTGCCAAAATGTAAAATATGATATTCCTTGATCTTATAATACTTATAATATTATCGGTATCTCTTACTTAATAATTGTATATCATGTGTTGTAGGGTTTGGCCGGTGCACCGGTGTTGTTACTGCATGTAGTTGTTTATGATCTTTAGTTGACAACAGTATACGGAGTAGGTACGCATCCAAACATGTGCGAGGGTAGCACGTACATGCACTGTAGCCTTTTTTTACAAAAACTTTGAAAGTCGTGCGTTATTCACATGAAACGAAATTGAGAAATGTTTTCAAGCAACTTAGCTCAAATTTGGAATCTGAAATTCCTCTCAAAAACGTTACCAAGATTTCCACCTTTATGGAAAAAGTGAAAAAATTGGATGTTCCTCTACGCGTGTACAAAACCGCTGCTGGACAAAGAACTTTCCACTACAGATCTACTGTATCACTCTCTGGAATAACATTAATCCTGATCTAAAACTATGCGCCAACTCTTTCCCGAACTTTAAAATAAAACTAAAACACAAACTACTTCAACAATATCTAGATATTAACTAAGTGCACAACTTTATTCATCTGGGGCTGGTTGTTCAAAAGTCGATTAGCCTAACCTTCAGGTTTTAAAACTTAAAATTCGAAGCAAACTTCCTGACAGCTTGTCTATAAATTTGGAAATGTTTCTTCAGAGATCTTGTCTGAATCGATAGGAATTCACTTCTCTGACGTTTAGAGATAAACAGACGTGCATGCAGAACTACACAAAGTTGAAACTAAAACGGCGGGTTAAATTTTAACCAGGGTTGGCACTAACCCACCTTTGAACAACCGTCCCCTGTAGGTGTAGCTGTTGTTGTCAGGGTTATTGCTGTTATTGTACGTACGTAATTTTGTTTTAATATAAATTATTCACTAGAATTTAATGTAATAATAATATAGTAATTTATATGTTGTAATTTTGTCACTGAAAACCCCCTTCAGGGGAGTGTCATTGAAGTCAATAACAATAAAAAGAAGCCTTCTTAAATAATTGACAGCCTGTCATGTTGTTTTACAACGCACTTTTATAGTCTTTGGCATCATGCAACAAATAATGATGTTCCAATCAATGCCGAAATTTTTTTAAACTATATTTATTACATATGGCTACAAGTAATCGAGTATTGTGATTGTGATATACCTCTTTAGCCAGATCAAGAATCCTTCCATGAAGTTCAACCTAAAAATTAAAAAAAATCTTTTAAATTATGCAAAAACTCTTTTAAGCCAGCCATGCACATAAAGACAAAAAGGTAACAAAATTAATTATTATGAAAACGTTAACCTTTTAAGTGGCAATGCACCCCGATGCACCTCACTTTAATATTTTACTCTGTCCAAAGCCAGAGTATTTTACTCTGTCTAACGCAGACGATTTTACTCGTCAAGTGGAGAGTGCTGCCACTCAATGGATTAAACAGGCTACTATGTACCTCTGAAGGTAGGAATTTTCCAATGATTCCAAGAGTATTGAGTATTTCGGCAACAACATTGTGAGATTCTGTAATACGAATACAAAGATACAGTTTATAATGCAAAGGAAGGAAACCAGCCTATTTTGTTGACATATTAAATTGTGTTGTGCTTAGTTTAAAGATTTGAGTATTAATAAACAAGAAAGCAAGATAATGCACATCCTACATGCTTTCTTGATTACTCAAACCTTGACTTTAGTGCGCCGTGAATTGTGATGGTTTGATTCGGAGTATGTATTGTAATTCTTAACGTTGACCAGAGCGGAGTTAAATGCAATGTTATGCAAATTACACTCTTGCAAATCACTTCATCCAGGTAGAGTTATCATACTGCATGTTTATGTTTCAAACCAAGAGCAGCTGGACTGAACGTCATTATTTAAGTGTACTTTATTCTTACATTTTCCAATAAACACAAAATTGCAGTGTTTGCAATTATTTTCATACATAAACCTTCAAGAACTGCATACATTGTGAATTATTGTATATCATTGTACAATTTACAAGGATACTAGAAATACATGAATGCCAAAACCCATATACTTGTAGCCTACTGTATATTTTCCAAACATGAAGTATTTCGAAGCTGTTGTCATGCTAACACAAAGGTAACTGACGACACATGGCCGGATTTTCTGGGGGTGCAGGGGTTTTATGTCTCTTTGGCAGGGATGATCCGTCTGTTTGTCCCTGTTTAAGTTTGTCCAGACAGATATCTGTCTTTAGTATAAATTGTGCCAATAAACACTGACCGTCATACCATTGTTACATTGCATGTTTAGTCATTTGAACATGGCGTCTAGTAGGCTGTTGCGGTATATCGATATTCCAATAATTATCTTTTTTTAAATACCGATTACTCAATATTGAAATTTTCGATATATCAGAATATCGACATTTCTCGGTCTATTATCAGGTGAGATATGACAATCTTTGCATGTTTCGAATTTGCAGTTGAACAGCACGTTTTGAAACAAAAATTTCCTGGCCAAAAATATAACACACGATTCACTCAGAGTGTGGATGCAAATATACGCACTTTCAATTCCCAAAGCGGACACTTCTCGTGTTATATCACAGCTTTTTGGCGTCGTTGAAAACAGAAAATTTTGCATGAAATCGAGCAAATTTTGCATAAAATCCAATTGCGAAAAATATCGATATTTTTTATCGTTGTTTTTCAAATACAGCAACAGCCTAGCGTCTAGATATGGTTGGTTTTTGTTTCTTATTTAGTCTGCATGTCAGCAACACCATCCGTTGAAATACTTGGTTGATGTTCATCAGTAAAAAAATAATTTCCTACCCCAATAAGACAAAGTTCCGGTTCCAGCCATATTTTTTTCATCAGTTCTGGCCGGAACTCTAAAAAGACAGGGTTCTGGCCGGAAACTAACCAGCTGGGACTGAGTTCCAGTGCATCCCTAATTCATTTTTCAAATTAAGACATGGTTCTGGTTTTTTATCAGTTCTGGCCAGAAGCAGAAAAATAGGGATTCTGGCCAGAATTAACCGGCCACCTTTATTTTATTAGAATTAATAAGGCCAATGGAATTAACATATCAGTTTACCGTCACCCGCCTGCATGTGTTATTGGCAGCCACGTGACATTTTCATTATTTCAATATTACATCCATCTCACATCACCCAATTAGCACGTTTGACGCCGGCTGACAGCCGGAAATTTTGTCTCTGATTGCTCGGCTGCCAGCCGGGCTGTACTATATATAGTATACTATTCGTTCAAAAAATGCGCGCATTTCAGAGGCTGGTTCTAGAATGTTTCATAAGCAGAAAACCACCAAAATTACATTAAATTTTCCGAAACTCATCGAAATGCATCTAAATTCATCTTCCCAATGCATATAGTTAGCTATACAACAGGTAAATAAACGAGAAAAAAATATTTCGGCAAAAAGAAAAAATTCAAATTCGTTTGCGCGCACTCCGGACTTGAACTCACGACCCTCAGCATACACGCTGAGTGTTGTTCCCCTTCGCCACCACGTCTTACACGGAAAATATGTTAATTTATTGTATATATACAGGTTTTTTTATCCAGCGCGATTAAAGATTGCGTAAATACGTACACCATCGTACACGGCCAAGGGTACAGTAGCAGCCGAGCCGTATCTACACTTTAATACAATACTTACAATACATTACGGCATAGGTCACGGCTTCCAGCCGGGGTTATTTAACTGTAATACAATACTACAATGCAATACAAGTGTCAGCCGAGCCTGCCGGTAGTATACAATAGTATACTACAATACATCACAGCTACCAGTCGGCAATACGGCTATCAGCCGGGCGTGTCTGTAGTATACAATATACTATACTATAGTGTACTGTAGTATACTACGATAGTATACTATAGTGTACTGTAGTATACTACAGTGTCTGTAGTATACTATACTATAGTACTGTAGTATTGCGGGTACCAGCCGGCAATACGGCTATCAGCCGGGCGTGTCTGTAGTATACTATAGTGTACTACCGACAGGCTCGGCTGACACTCGTATTGCATTGTAGTATTTTATTACAGTTAAATAACCCCGGCTGGTAGCCGTGATGTTTTGTAGTATACTATAGTATGCTACAGACATGCCCGGCTGATAGCCGTATTGCCAGCTGGTAGCCGTGATGTATTGTAGTATACTATAGTATACTACCGACAGGCTCGGCTGACACTCATATAAGTCGTATTGCATTGTAGAGTTGTATTACAGTTAAATAACCCCGGCTGGTAGCCGTGATCTATGCCGTGATGTATTATAAGTATTGTATTAAAGAGTAGATACGGCTCAGCTGCTACTGTACCCTTGGCCGTGTACAATGGTGTACGTATTTACGCAATCATAAATCGCGCTGGCTAAGAATAACTTGTGTATATACAATTAATTAACATATTTTCCGTGTAAGACGTGGTAGCGCAAGGGGACAACACACGGCGTGTATGCTGAGGGTCGTGGGTTCAATCCCGGAGTGTGCGCAATCGAATTTGAATTTTTCTCTTTGCCGAAATTTTTTTTTTCTCGTTTATTTACCTGTCGCATAGCTAGCTATATGCATTGGGAAGATGAATTTAGATGCATTTCGATGATTTTCGGAAAATTTAATGTAATTTTAGTGGTTTTCTGCTTATGAAACATTCTAGAACCAGTCTCCGAAATGCGCGCATTTTTTGAACGAATAGTATACTATAGTACCGCCCGGCTGGCAGCCGAGCAATCGGAGACAAAATTTCCGGCTGTCAGCTGGCGTCAAACGCGCTTCGGGTGCTCACATTGTATAGCAAGTGTTTCAAAAATGGCTTTCTGTTGAAATTTTTGGCAAATACTGACTTTGTTTATACAGTTAGCGAAGCCATGGCAAAACGAAGTCAAAGACGTAGCTGATAGCTCAGAAGCTAGGAAAAAGTCCAAGAATCGTCAGAATGTTCTTGGATTTTTTCCATCGAAATTCAAATTTTCAGCTCAAAATTTGACAAATTCAAATCGTGAAAAATAATGAGAATGATTTTAGGTGACGATATCTGAACTGATACCTTAATTCCAATTCCAAAGGCCTAACTCACCTTCCTTGCCCATACATCTAATGGCCTCTTCCACAATATATTTCAAATTCACACCAGGGTACCTCAGTAATGTGCCCAAAATCGAAAACAGTTTAACTCTGTTCGCCACATCTTCTTCCTTATTGGCTCTTTCTACAACAACTTTTGCAGCAAACTCAGTTTCCTCCACCGACTCCAGAGGCAATTGTTTAAAAAATCTTAACAATATATTCAATACTTCTTTTGTTGTACGACTGTCCGCTAAATCCTTCGATAGTTTCCGTGCTTCGCTGAGAGCTGGCTGCTTTGAGCGTTTGCTCAAGCGAAGGGTGTGTTGTCCACTGTCACTTTCCGCACTTGTGTGCCCATCTGTTGGACTTGTAATTATTATAGTGCTTGAACCTGCACCAGAGCTAAATCTTCGCTTCATTTGTAGCTTGATATACGTCGGACTAAACGTTTAGATAGATTTAGCTCAAATTAAATGATCCAAGACTGAAAATTTAATAAAGATTCCAAGCAATATCACGATTTAATGCAAAATTCTGCCATTTCTTAATATTTTGAAAAGTACTGTGGCGACAAAAATTCCGCCATTTTGTATTTGATCGCGCTGGAGGCTGGTATCGAATTTAATACTGCAAAATACTTCATGTAAGCAGACATCCTCAGAGGATGGTAAGCAGCAACCTCGTAACCCAGGGACTTTCCTCTTGGCATAAGCGTACCGGGCGGGGGGGAGGGGGGCGGTAGCCCCCCAACCGCCCCCCAGTTTGTTAGGATCAACAGTCGGGCAATTTTGGTTTGTTATAAAAATAAATGGGGCAAATTCTGTCAATTTTGTCGGAAATTCAGTCAATTTTGTGGTAAATTTATTGTTCTTTGGAAAATTTGTGTGATGTTCCGAAAAATTTTGGTATGTCCGGAAAATTTTTTCAGCCCAAAAATGGTACACTGACCGAAAATTTTTTTGCGACGGGGGGGGGG